ACAAACTAACATGACGTACGAAAGTTTAAAAAAATTTAAAATTGAAAGACATAATTCTTCATATTTTCAATGATGAATTTAAGTTCTAATTTTTACTTTTTAGTAAATTTTTCTGATTAATTTTTTCTTAATTTTCAGTCCGATAATGGAGATTTCTAATCTGAAAACTATGTTAATTTACATTTGCRGAATTACAATATAAAAACTTAATGTATTTAATCACATTTCAATTGTTTTTCARTAAATTAATAATTATTTTTAATTATTCATCTGTTTTTTGTGTAACTTAGTTCGTTTTATATGCACTGTGCAACTAAATGTGTTCGAGCGCCGGCTCTGTTAATGCTGTTCAGCTGCGTGCATTATATCTATGTATACATACATAAATGCAGAGCTATACACCGATATACCGATTTATGGTATACATATGCAGTAGGCGAAGGGAAAAACGCAAGCTGCTCGCTGCCTATGACTTCGACACAGAGCTGCTGTTGTTGGTTTTTGTGTCAAATCTGCCTGCGTCGGTGCTTTCGTTGTCACTACAGCATAGCTGTTATTTGCTGTGCTGTTACTTCTGTACGTTCGTTATACTAATGTTGTCGTGGTCTCAAAGTGGCAGTCGTTTCTGGTTGTTATTGCATGCGATATGCCGCATGGCTGTGGAATAGTCGAACGGACTGAGGGTAGAAAAGTAGTACTCGGAAAGCCGTTACAGAGGCGAAATGAAATGAAGTAAAGCAAAACGAACGAAGTGCAAAGGCTGAATGCCACGATAAAACTATACATTAAAGAGATTGAAGTTGGGCAAACATATCTGTGGGTACACATATTTGTGTGCATGTAACACACATAGCTATGTACGCTTATTTATCTACAAATAAATGTATATAAGCTTAGTAGAATGGTAAATGCAAGTAGGCTTTTATGTTTGTTAATATGTATACWCATATACATAGTTTGCATTGAATGAAACGAATACTGAAATACGAAGATGTTGATAAATAAATATTAAAAGCAAAAAGGAATCAGAAAATTGTTTGTTAGTTAATGGCAAGTTGGAAGGCATTTTAAGGGTACATGCATTTAGGTGTAAAAGGAGCTGGCAAAGGTGGTGGTGGGTTTTGTAGCTGATCATGCACAAGTTTCATATTTCAAAATTAAAAGAAAAAAAMATRTTTTTTACCTTTAATGAACACGATGAACGTGTGCGCTAATTGTAACAGAGTACCAATGCAGCTAGTACAGCGCCAATCTGTTCGTAATGAATACAGATAAGTTTAGATAATTTGTTATCAGGCTGCTGATTRCGTATAGGGTTATCCATATATGTTTGTATTTTATTTATCCAAATTGGAGAAGGCAATATCCATTTGTAATCCCAATTGTAGTTTTAAATAAATATATTTATATACACATACATTKACTCCAACTTTAACTTATTCACATTCGCCAATCAAAATCATGATATATGCACATTTAGTAAATCATTAACTATATAATTGATTTTTTTACAACACTTTTTACATATTTTATTTTAATCTGCCTTGAATTTTATTATTTTCTGTGTGCTTGCACTAGTTTTATTCACTTTTGCTTATTTCTTTATTCATACACTGAATAMCATCGGAATAATGCACTTTTTTCTKCTTCCTTAATTTATTTTCCACCACTTTGCTTTAAGTACACTTTTATCGCTTACTTTGCTTTTTTGTACCCGCACGTTACAACATTCACACACACATACATATATTMTATGTTGTTGTTGTTGTTGGGKTTGTRCACACACACATACTGTACGCGCAGTTCAGTAAAATGAAACGTCAGAGGTAGCTGGTAGTCTGCCGTCGAAAAACGTGACAACCGTATTTGAGATACTCCGAAAAAATTATTATCAACGCACAAGCACTCTRGCGTTATAGAGAGGCACTACACACTTATTTCTGTATATGCGAACACATGTATTTGTTCTCTTCCAGTAGATAGCAGCGTTGCTAATGCGACTTTGCGACAACCGAAGCGTTTTTTGACTGCGGCGACGTTGGCAGCGCTACCGACATTAATATTCAACTTACACACACAAATATATGTATATACACGCAAAGTGCACTTCTCSGCATATGAACAGCTTCATTTGTCTGGCCTGTAGCTGCTTCTCCTTCACTTATTTAGTTAGCGACTTTAATTTTTAGTTATTTTCATTTTATTATTAATTATTTGTAATTAAAATAAATTTCATTGTTTTCAATATATAATTTATTTACTTTGTTTGAACATTTGAAATTTCTTTGAAACTATGCTCTCTTTGTAAAGGCGAGAAACACTAATTTTCCCGTCAATATTAAAATATTACCACACAACTCAACGTTCCGTCTCGAAATGAGCTCTAGCGCAACGCTCCGRCTCGCTGTAACCGTGAACCATAAACCGTCTCGAAAACACTCAATTTCATTTATGTATTATTTTTTTTTATATAGGCAGACCGCAGCGCTTGCTGCTATATACAAGCGCAGAGGCAGCGGCTTCTGCTTACACAATGAAATATATAGCGTTGCTAGTGCCTTGTGGCGCTGAACTTCAACGAATTTATTTTTTCTTCCAACGCTCATCCTCCTCATATTCTCTCTCTCTGGTGTTATATACATATAATATCTTCTCAAACCAGCTGTACTATACACAGCGCTGCTATTTACTGCCCATCCCCTTATTTCATTCGCAACAGCACTCATTCATTTCGTGTGCACATATACTCACTAACATCATATCTTCTTTCTCTGCCTCTCTCACTCATTCACACGCATCGTTGCCGTGCAGCAACGCAGCCATTCGACMGGCCCAGTCCAGTTATACTGCTTTGTTGAACGTTCGACAGCTGTCACTGTCACTGTAGTTTGGCGTTAACGTTTCTTCAGAGGCTCGTGCTCTTGGTTGGTCTCATTTGAGTAACAATGTGTTGATTCGCTCTTTTTGCTGCTCAACTGTATACTATGGCATGTGTGAGCGTACTCGCATTTACTATATATTAATTGGCGGGTACTAGATGGGTACGAGTGTTCAATAAGTGTAGTGAATAATAGTATATAAGTTCCATTATTTATTTGTTGCTGCGTCCAAGCAGCTGCTCACATTCATGACACATTTCATATTCAAGTTGGTTTGAGCAATTTCGAAAGCACTTTTTATGATTTCTATATGAATAATATATACTTCTGTGTATATACACATGTATCGCTCTGCACTCGGTAGAGACTGTGGTAAATACTTTKGCTGAGTTGCTGCTACGAAGTCTGTTGTTTTAGCATTGTGTTTAATAAACTGGTCGATAGTTGCTGTATATGTTGGATGTTCGAACTGGTTTCTGCTACCAACAACAATTCTGTGTCTGCTGTTGCAATTGTTGGCGTTGAGTTGAGCCGTTTATTACCGTATTTCGTGTTCGCAATGCTGACGGCCCCTCGGCCAGCTTTATGTGGCACTTGCGATTGAAATTAGAATCGTATCAAAGTGCTGACGAATTAAATTGTCGCTAAAAGTTTGTTGCAGTTAAAAGAAATCGACGTAAATATATGCAAGTACACATATACATACATATAATATAGTATATACATATAATAATACTCACTTTTAGAACTAACCTGTTAATCAAGTTAATAATAATTTAAAGTCTTAAAGTATAATCTTATACCCAGATCGATGCAGATAGGTTASCTTCTCCAGAGGAGGAATACTCAAAAATAATATTATATAAAAATAACTAATATTTTTTAAAATATTAACGTCTAAAAGTTCAAAAATTAGCACTAAGAACACATGGTATTTCTCTATGTTTCACTACATTTTTTCACGTTTTTTACTCTGTATATTTAAATATTTACTTTAAGCATTGAATTAAGCTCACATTTCACATTTATTTTATAATTTTTCAGCTAAATTTAGTATTTTAAAAATCACTTATCAAATTTATGTCTGAAAAGTTTAGAGTGTTTATATTTAAGAGGAAAACCTGCTTTGCCACACATTAAAAACCAAAAGTGAAGGAATTTGCAGTGTTTCACAGCGCGTTCTTTGTACTTTCGAATGATTCTTTTTTCTTTATTCTACTAGAGGACCCGGCCACGCTTCACTCTGACTGATACATAGATAATACTACTACTATCTATATGATTTCTATTAGTTGGATTATAATTATTAGTTAATGCGATATAGCATTTCTGTGAAGCAACTTGTGTTACTTTACAAAAAAAGGTTCATAGCGAATTTTGAGTGTTAATAAATCATAGCTTTTTGGAGGAAAATACTGTTGAATTTGGGCATAGGGAAATCCACCGATAAAAAGTTATTTGCTAAGCTTAAAGAGGCGAAAGCTCCGTGCAAAGTGGGTGCCTTGCAAGTTCATAATAAAACAAAAACAACGAATAACTGATTCTGAGAAGTGGTTGAGTGCTCTCTAATCGGAATAAAGCCGAATTTTTGCGTCGGTGATAGAAACATAGCTCCATCATTTMCYACTGRAGTCCAATCGACAGTCATTCTAGTGGACTGCACTACACATCGGTTCTCAGAAAGGTTGTGGCATGCATGTCGTATAATACATACTCAATAACTGATTACTGAGACAGTTATAATCTATTTCACTGTATATTTGGTTGCACTGCTTTTCTACTATTTCAAATATTTAGCAATTGTATTATATTTTATAAAGAATCTGTTTAAAATTGTACGCATATATTCAAATGATTCCTACAAACATGAATTTTGAACAAATAATTACAATTTGAAATATAATTTTTGTTTTTATGAGTTTTATTGGATTCTAATATAAAGAAATGAAAGGTAGCCTATGTCCTTACCCTGGTTCTACACTACCTCCCCACCAATTTTCAGCCGAATCAGTTCAACCGTTCTTGAATTATAAATGGTGTAACTAACAACAACTTTCTTTTATATACATCCATATATACATAGATAAAAAAACTATAAAGAGTTTTCAAGCTAAAATGGAATATGTGAACACTTTTCCATATACATACATTGTATATGAATATATGAATAATATGTGGTTTATACTTTATAAACACAGATAAGTAAAATCGTGTGATAATATTATAATATATACATATGTGATTGTAATATAACATGTTTATTGTACATACATATCACAATTTTATACTATCATTCTCCTTCTGCGTTGGCGGCCTTTGGCCGCGCTCTAAAAAAATAACCCCGCTCGAGCGAATACCCGGGGCGACTGAAGTATTTTCGTTTAAAATAAAAAAAAATATGTTGAGTTTTTATTATAAAGTGGTTAAAGTAGTTATATTTTTTGGTTATCATGTACTCATATTGAAACAAAATTTGAGTTTTCGCACTGTACTGTATACTTTACACTTTATTACGTAATATTATTATATAATATTACTTTATATTATTATATAATATTACTTATTAGCTTAATAAGTTTAAAAAAGAAAATATCCATATGCATCCTCTCTCCATGCGAAAAATGGAGCAGCGCTCCATATCGGCTTAATTTTTGGTAAACAAATGAGGTTCAAACGAGTGTAAAATGTAATAAAGATTTTTTTTGGTAAGAAAACCGGCTAAAAGTGTAAAATGTGGATTTATTTAAAAGTAAAGTTTATAGTGTAATTTAATTAATTTGAAGTAAAAAATGTGAATAAAATGTGTTCAATGTGGTGAAATAGCTATTACTTTTCTTGAAATGTTCGAATTTTGCGAATTTTTGAAATTTAAGGTCGAATATCTCGTAAACTAAGCGTTTGCGGTACCTATAACACATATATTTTTTAGTCAAGAGTTTCCAACGGTACCTTTAAATCGCGGCGCCAAAGAAATCGGAATTGTGTCCTCAGATCAACCTGACATGGCCACAAACAAGTTATGAAAAGATCATAAGTATGATTTGAAGCAAATGCCTTTTAAGTCCTAAACAATTTGAACCGTTTAAATTAGTAGATAACAGACGTTACCGTGACGTTACGTGGGCTGTTTTATGTAGAGATTTACATTACTGTCAAATTCAATACTAACTTTTGACAAATAAACTATAAAACTATTTTTTATTAACATATTTCGGGACTTACCTACAAACTAATTATATATTCCGGAWCCCAGTCCTGATTTCAGCCTTTAAAAATTCGCCAAAGTTTTTAAATTATTGTAGGATATTAATATGGACTGAATATTAAAGCATCTCATACAAAAACTTTGCTAAACTACAGTTTTATAGGCACATTGTTTTGGCTGTCTTTGATTCGTTATTTTTCTAGCTATCCTTGCGCGCTGTTCTCTTGTAAATAAATTTACATATAAAGTAAAAAAAAAAAATTTTCGAGTTGAATTGACACAATAGAGTATATGTGCGTCAGAGACCCTGTAAAAAATCCATTCATATGTATAAATGAGTAGCTTGACGAGCTGAGTCGAATTAGCTATATCTGTGTGTCTGTTTTTATAAACGCCGAATAGCCCCTCAGTTTTTCGATCTGAAATTTCGCACACGTCCTTTCTCCCTAAGAAGCTGCGCATCTGTCGGAACCGCCGATATCAAACAACTATGGCATGTTGTTGCCATACAAACTGACCGATCAAATTAAAGTCCTCATGGAAATTTGGCATAGACTATTTTTCAAGCTTTTTTTACAACCTTCGAACGAACTGTGAGATCTTGTATGCTATATTATGTAAATGCGCGTGCGAAGGGTGTTATAGGTTCGGTTCAGACAAAGTTGTTTTTTTTTCTTGTTTTTTATTAATTTTCAAAACTTCAGACTTAAAAAAGCGAAAGTTAAGCACASAAAACAAAAGCCTTGAAAATCAATGATTACTAAAATGAGTCTCATCGTGAAAATAATATTATTTCATCAAAGAAAGCACAATAGTAGTGGGTTGCAAGAAAGTGCTGTCAATTTGTTTGAACTATTGGTTTCAATACTCTCCAATGTTTAGCGAATTGACAGTTATTATAGAAAACTATATCACTACAGTGATAGTATTACATATTTACAATCCACGAGGTTTACTTTTAAAATTAACGTTTCAATTTTTAAAAGTATTGATACAAATATTCGTAAGGTTGATTAAGCATAAATTACGATAGGRTTGGGTTAGGTTGTAGCACCAAAAGTACCACAGGATTACAACACAGATTCTTTGTGATTCCTCATTTTTTTCAGGTATAGATACCTTATAGATTGGCAAAGCGTTTTGAGCCTGCCACAA